TGGGGTTTATTTCTCTGACTCTTTCTATATATTTACAGAATATATACATTTATATCATGCATGTGTGTGTGTTATAGAGAGATAACTTGTATTTGTAATGTATAGAGAGATCTTGTAGCACCTTTGAGACTAACTGAAAGAAAGAAATTGGCAGCATAAGCTTTCGTAGACTTCAGTCTACTTCCTCAGATGCATTTGGTGGAGTGGAAGCCAGGCACAGACATATATATATATATATATATGCCATTGGTATGTGAGGATGTCAGTTCAAATTCAAAGTCCTTTGTGTGGAAATTCAGTTGCAGGTCCAGTTTTAACTTCATTTCCATTTCTCCTTCAAGTCGTCTTCCGACTTATGGGGACTCTAAGGCAACCCCTATCATGAGGTTTATTTCTCTGTCTCTTTCTATATATTTATATATACATTTATATTGTGTGTGTATGTGTGTGTGAGGTTTGTGTATAATTTATATTTATAATTATGTTTGTTGCTGTTTGAATTCATTTTCCAACTTAAGAAGACCCTAAGGTAAAGCTGTCACAGGGTTTTTTTGGCAAGGTTTGTCCAGAGGAGGCTTGCCATGGCCATTCTCTGAGGCTGAGAGAGTGTGACTCACTCAACTCATCCAGTAGGTTTCATGGCCAAGAACAGGGAATTGAACCCTGGTCTTCATAGTCCAACACTCAAACCACCAGTCTGCTGGCTTTCTACTTCTCAATTATGTGTGTGTGTGTGTGTGTGTGTGTGTGCGCGCACACACACACAATTACTACACTATAGTATATATTTCTATGGTGTAATTGTTTGAGTGCTGGAATATGACTCTGGAGACCAGGGTTCAATTCCCAGCCCAGCCATGAAACCTGCTAGGTGATCTTGGGCAAGTCACACATTCTCAGCTTCAGGGGAAGGCAATAGCAAACACCCTCTGAACCAGGGGTAGGCAACCTAAGGCCCGGGGGCCGGATGTGGCCCGCTGAGGCCTTTGGACCGGCCCCAGGCTGGTCCTGCCGCCGCCGCCGCTGCACGCCATGATGATATTGTTTATTGTTGTTATTACTTGTTCTTGGGGTTTTTCTTCGCAAAATCTCCACAGGGGTTTTGCCATGGCTTTTCTGGGGCCAAGAGAGTGTGCATGCATATTTTTTAATTTTTTTAAAATTTGTAATATTTATTTATTTATTTCTTTATGGTGCTTCGGCCCCACCAATTGTCTGACGGACAGCAACCCGGCCCCTGGCTCAAAAAGGTTGCCTACCCCTGCTCTGAACAAACCTTGCAAAGAAAACCCCATGATAGGTTCACCTTAGGGCTGCCATAAGTTGGAAATGACTTGAAGACACACAACAAATTATAATGTATATTATATATAATAATAACTATTTTATAACTATTGAGCTCCTTGAGCAAGGAGGGTGTAGGTTGATGTATATGAGGCTTCACGTCTTCTTTCTGGGATACATATATATATATATATATATATATATATATATATATATATATATAT